CATTCTAGAATAAAGCATTTCATATTTTAAAATTGTTTCTGAAAAAACATTGCAGCCACCCCTTTTATTGCAGCTACCCTATTTGAAACTCATGTGTATATATTTCTATAAAATATGAACAAAATAAATGAGTTTTGAAGAACAAAAAGAATGTTATTGGCTTTGTTCATTAACAATCTATTGTTGGTTTTATTTTTTTTTTAAAAATGTACATTTTCCCCTCTTGATATAAGCAAACCAATAAAAGATTTACAAAGGCTTTTTTTTTTTTTTTTTATGAACTCACATGCCTGAAAACAATCATCTGGATTTGTGGTTCAGAATTTTTTAAATTTTCACTACAAATGTTCTTAGGAAAGATAGCAGAGTAGTTTTATGTTGCACAGATGAAACTGGTTGCTCTACCAAGGCAGTAGAATCTGGTCTGCTCTCCACTTTCACCTAAAGCTGAGGAAAGAGTGAATTTGTGTTTTTTACCAAGGAGATTAATACAAAATGAATTCAATAAAACTTGGTTTGCATTTTCCTCACTAATGACTGTTATCAAATGCATTTATCACGAGTAAGAAAATGTTAAATTATAAATCAATTCCTAGATTTATTGGTCCAAATATATGCTTTTTTTATTAGCATGTGTTTGGATAAATAATGTACATATATATCAACTTAATTGTTAGATTTTTTCCATTGTGGTTTCTTATTCCCTGATCTAATCAGGATAATGACATTTGTATTCAGAACTGGTGTTAGCTTTAAGTGTCACTTTCAAATATTATTCATTAAATTGTCAATCCTTTTGACAGATCAGAGGAAAGAAAAAATAACTTGTGGTTTGTTTGTGTTTTTTGATTGTTTTAAGGTATTTCTGATCTCAAATACAATGACATGCCAAAAATTATGAGTTTGTGTTTTGAATTGTATAGGACTGTTTCTAGTCTCAACATGGCATCAATTCCACAGGTGATCCTAATAGCCTTGGAAAGATGTTGGCTAAACTCTCCTGATAACTATTCATAGCTCCTTTCTATTTTTAGGTCAATAACCCAGGTAGGGTTGATAAGCCATAAAATAAATTATATTTTTAAGTGCAGGATCTTGTGCGAAGATAGATTTGCCCATCAAACCCATAAATATTCAGTTGGTCTCATGTCTTATGTTGGGTGAACATGTTGATAAAACCATTCATTGGAAGGCTCCAGAATACTCCTTATACCAATTATAGGTAATTTGGGCTGTATTATCCTGCAAGAATAACCCCTCAAATAACCTAGAATGGGATAATGTCAGGTGAACATTATGGTCACACCTTTTATCAGATGTCTCCAGAATTCTTCTTAGACCAATTCTAGACATTATGTATTATCCTGTTGGAATTACTAATCATTGTTGGAGTACATGGAGTCCATGAATGGGTGTTAAAGGTTATGAAACAGTGCAACATTGCAGTCATTGACTTATTTAGGCAGATAAGCAGACTCAATGCATGTCTCATGAACACATCCAACATTATTATGGAATAGTGTCTTGTTAATAACTGTGGTTCACAGCTTTATGGTGTCTGCACTACACCCAAAACAAGAACCATAACTCATCAGGCCATACCACATATTAACAGTCTTCTAGGGTCTAATTAGCTATATCAAAAGCCTTGTTTGGTCTCATGGTGTTAACAAAGACAACCCTGATGAGTATTTTGCATCCACTTTCCATGGAATATAAAAAAACACTGAACTGATTTGCTGGTTATATCCCTCTCTCCCAACCCACCTTCACTACCCTCAGAATGCTTAACCTATGTCCATACAGTGATAATAATAGTGTGAACCTGCATACATTTTTGACACAATTCTATCCGCACTAAAATAACACTCTTTGGTAATGTTATACCATACATATGGACTATAATGAGTATGTCCCAATCCTCATAAATACAGTGGAATATATTGGCTTGGGGGATTCACCTCTAGTTAACCACTAGCAGTGGATTACTTCCTACACACCACTGTCAAATCTTGTATGTGGTTAATGTTATAAAGATTATTGTTCCATTTCCAGCCTTTGTTTTGGTTATTCTAATTCAGTAACTTTTTCTAGGTTACAACAAGTAATGAATTATGAGATATGATTTTATTGGTATTCAATCAGCCTAATTTTATATATATATATATATATATATATATATATATATATATATATATATATATATATATATATATATACACACACACACAGTATCAACAGAAAGCCAGAAAAATTAATGGATAATAAAAACAGTTTTTTTATATAACAAATTAATGTTTCAATTAAATTTAGACACAGTTAAGCACATATATTAGGTACAAAAATCACTTGATGTAGCCACCATCGGCAATCAACACTCTCTAGAAATTGGAAGATGGAGCAGGCCTTGATGATGGTGTGCCTGTCCATGTTGGCCATAGCATCCTAAATAGCTGCTTTAAGAGCCTTCTTGATGTTGTTTGGCCTGCTTTTCACCTGCCACTCCAAGACACCCCACACAAAATAGTTAAGAAGATTGCTATCTGGTGATGAGGGGAGCCATAAATTGTACAGAACATTGCTGAAGATCCAAACCTGGGTGGTCCTTGCCTTGTGTGTACAGGTGGAGTTCTGTTAAAAGATTTAGAGCCTCCCATTAGCCACCCTGTCCATTTAGGGTTTGATGTACTCATTCAGAAGCCTCATGTAGTCATTGCCACCAAGGTGGAGGGTCAGGGATTAAGATAGGCTCCATGACATCGTCTTACTGCTAACAACATCAAACACTGATAGGCACATGATAGGCACATTACCAGGAGATTCAGCCAACCACCTTTCATCCTGTAAGTTCAGTCTCGTATCCTGGACAAAGTTCTTCTCCTCAGAAAAAAAACCTTAGCATTTTGGTGCTTGAGGTCATTGATCAGGGCTGACACCTTCAGCTTTTTCCCCACCTTCTGCACTTTGGTGAACAATTGGTGCCTCTTGAGCTCATAAGATTTATAATTCAAGTCCCCTTTGACAATAAGCCCAATTGTTCACTTACTGGTACCTATTTCCTTGGCAATTTCCCCTTCATGCTTTTGCTAGGCTTCTCCTTGACAACCTCAGCAATGTTGTTGACAAACTCTGGCATCCTGGTGACACCAAAGCACTTCTTATGAGTCAGGCCTAAATTTGTCTGTGTCATTTGAGGGCCCCATGTGTCTTTGCAAGGTCATAGATCATGGTTTTATGGTATTTTAACCATTCAGTGATTTCCATGACTTTGTGGATGGTGTAATAGCAGCTCAATGATCATATTCTGAAGACATGATGATTACTAACCACCTTGCACATGAATGGGATGACAGCTACTGATGTGTAGTACTTTCTAATAGTGCTCTCCAAACCTTACTACACTGTGACATCATAGTGCTGTTGCCATGTAAAAATTTCTCTAGAAAACAAGTTTTGATATTTAAGTGGGGGAAAAAGTGACTATAAAGTGGAGGTTTGATTTACAATATACATATAATGTCCAAATAGACCCTGATTTTGTGTTTGACTATGGAAATGAATGTTCAGTTGACAGTGTAAATACACTACTAAAATAAACACCAAATTTGGATTTACCTTTATGCAAATAGGTTGTCAATTTTAAAGTAAAAATCCTAAAAAGAAAAAGTGTTATTTTTATCAAGTTGAAAACCTAGGGTTTTTAGAAAGACACTTAAGTCAAGCTTGTGTCTTCTCATAGGATTTAGTCAACCTTTACAGTGAGTCCTTGCTGAGAGAACTAGGTGTCCTGCCAGGATTTATTGTTGGCGAACACAATCTTAACAACATAAGATATGCAAATAACATTGTGTTGATGGCAAGAACTACTGAACACCGTAGAAAAGTAAAGTGAGAAGGTCAGACTAATCAACAATTGTAAGAAGATTGAATGTTTAGCTGTCAGCAAGAGAAACAAACCAAGGTATGAATTACAAATTGAAGGTGTTAAAATCAAGTAAGTACAAAAATGCAAATATCTAGGAAGTTCAATATTGAAATCCAAAGGCGCATTGGGATAGTGAAAGATGCCTTCTAAAAGTTGAGCAAAGTATTAAGCAACAAAGAATGGGAAATATAACACTGAAATCTGAATGAAAGCACATTGGAATAGAAAAAGATGCCTTAAAAAAGTTTTACAAAGTATTAAGAAATGGAGGAATGTAATTAGAAACAAAGAAAAGAGTGTTTCACTGCTATGTAGTATTAGACTAACTATATGTCAGTGAATGCTAGACAATTTCCTCACAGACAAAGAATACACTTGAGGCAACAGAGATATGGTTCTACTGAAGAATGCTGAGAATACCATAGATGGAGCATGTGAGTAATGAGGAACTTTTAAGGAAAATGGAAACAAAAAAGAATGTTTATACTTAGAATTTGACCCTCAGATATATTAAGGGCAAGAGAGACAGAAATAAACAGCAAGTAACATACTTATTGTGCTTGTATAAATGGATAGTGGAACAAGGAGTAGGAAGTATAGTAAAAAGTCAATTATTGCCAAGAGTTACAAAGGATACGAAGTTGTGGAGAACCATGATCTCTAACGTCCAGAAGAGACATGGCACCAAAAAAGCTATATTAAAATATTGAGTGCCTAATTTCAGAGAAAAAATTTTTTTTTTTTTTTTTTTTTTTTTTAATCTTTTGAGATTCCATTAAATTTATCAATAAAAAATATTGGTTGATTTGTTTTTTTATGGTTTGTCAACCTTTTGCAGGTTATTTAAAGCCAGAAAATAATATTTTTAGATTGTAAGAATTTTTGGAAGATAATCATGATTTACTGATATATGCCCTACTAATTACTTCCTACCTGGGGACAGAAGTGGTGGATTAACACCTTTCTCAAGAGTATTTGCACATGAGTTAATATAATGAACCAAACTGGGATTTGAACTTGACTCTCTGATTTCCAATACTGAATCATTATCCTTAACATCACCCACACATCCAAGCTTACAGCACCTGTTATTCCCAAGCAGTCACCCATTTAGGTACTGACCAGGCTTAACATTGCTTAACTTTGGGGATCGTATGAGAACTAGTGTTTTAATATGATAATGGTTGCAATCCCAATGAAATATACCCATTATTTTAATAAAAAAAGAATACAAAATAAGGGTCCATATATTGTAAATTGAAACCCCAAATAGAAACTTTAAAAGTTAATTTCACAAAGAAATTAAAGTCATATTTATTTAAAGTATATCAAAATACACTGAACTTAAACTAAGTTCACTGTTTTCCTACAAAAATAGTAAACTTAGTTTAAATTCAGTATAATTTGGTAGCAGTTCTTTTTGTATATATGACTGATTAAAAATAACAAACATTTCGTGTCTATTAAATTTGTTGGTCTTTTTTTTCTAGTACATGAATAACATGCAAATTTGTTTTTTGTTTATGCATAAAATAGCTGAAATTCATTTTGTGTTGTCCAAGCTTTTGACACATGTTAGTCATAATCAGGTATGTGAGTAAAGAAAAGAAAATTAGGTGTATTTTAAGTAGTACATTGTTTTTAAAAGTATTGTTATTATTTTTTAATGTTAAATCCAATATGATATGGTTTCATTAAATTTAACGAGTTTACATGTTATTTTTTCTTAATATTTTATCAGATAAATCTTATTTTGATAACTTTTTATTTTCCAGGTTGATCTTCAATGGTTGAATGTCAGTGCTAACAAAAGCTCGGTAATATTGCAACTAGAGAATAACAGCAAGTACTCATTTGGTGTGGCAGCTGAGAACTTCAATGGTTCCAGTGGACTAACTTGGGGACGTTGTTTTTACTACAAGAAAAGTAGGTGGAAAGTCTGTTTTGAGGTTGACTACCAACCTATGCATCATCTAAAATAGTTTCTTTCATCATCATTTAACTTTTTGGAGGCATGGTGGCGTAATATATAGTCAAGTTTGCTACATTCACCTATGTGCAAATACCTTAGGAAAAGTTATAAATCTATTTCTTCTCCCTCCAGCTATGGGTTAATAGCAGGACAGACTAGGTCCTATAGCTTAGTGTTGCAATCATTAGGAGAAGGACAACAAGTGGTTGGAAAATAAACTAAGATCTGTTTACGGGTTTGATGAATTCCTCAGAGTAAACAGCTATCTCCTCCAACTATAGGTTAAATAGTCTCACCAACCTACAATTGGCCAAGAGTGGTGAGTATGGCTATCCTTGAAGACATGGTCAATCAGGGAGGGGTTCCTTCAACAGGAATGAGAAGGAACTGGATTTGGAACTTTTTATGTTAAAAGTGATTGAGACAATAATATTTAGTCAGTAATTATTTTTTAATATGAAAGAATAATAATCATGAACAAATGAAAAAGACCTATCTTTTGTTAATCTTGGTTGTATGATAAAAAATTCTTTGTAAACCTATGATAACCAAAAATGAATATTTTTCTAAAATGATAAATATTCAGTATTTTACAAGTATAACAAATATTGTGAGTAGAGGAATGTCTAAGGCAATGTTTTTTAAAGCATTTTTACTTCAAGGTGCACTTATAAAAAATAAAAAAATGCTAAAACTGTGGGGTGCATTTTAAATTTTAATTACGGAAAATTAGTCATGAAATTTGAAAATAGGAAAATAATAAAGAAGTTTCCTGATATAAGGATTTATTTTTAACACATTACATTGCATGTTTAATTATGAGATAACGATATATATATTTTTATATACCAAGAAAAATATTGATGAAAAAATATGACAAAGGTGAAAATTTTTGTGTGACATGTGTTGTCCTTTAGGACTTCATTGGACTAAATTTATTGTTGATGCAACAACACATGCGCATGAACAAGGAATGCTGGGAATTAAAAATTTTTTTTTTTATATAATTTAGATTCTTTTTCTTCTTGTTTCCATTACTTTTGTTATTAGAATATTCTAAACTGTGATAATAGAAGATTTTCCAGAAATGGTGAAATGCTGTAAGAGCCAGGGTGCAAATTTACTGTAGATGACTTTGTAATCAGGGCACTCTCTAAACATTTTTGTTGTAGTAAATTGTTTTCACCTTTTATCAGAGTAACATTTTTTATGTCAAAATTGTGGCCACTCTTGTTATGCTAAGTAATTAATGCATTTAATGTATTGTTTTGTAAAATGTACCTTTTGTGTTCATATAATGTTTTATTTAGATTCCTTGAGACTTCTATGTAATTTTTTTGTGACAATTATTATAGGTGATTGAGTTAAATTCATCCTTCAAGTTTTAGCTTATTGTTTTGTTTAGTATTGACTAATTAAGTTTTATTGTTTTAGATGTAGTAGTAACAAATTTCATGTTAATTTTAGATAAGTTCTTTTCAGTTGTAGATGTGATAGTTGGTATGATAATATATTTTCTTGATCCATTGGGTTTGTCAGGAGGGGCCATTTTTTTCTATTTTGAAATAGTAAATGATCCACAGTAAATTTGCACCCTGGCTCTTACAATATTTCACCATTCCTGGCAGATTTATTATCCAGTTATGGAATATCTAATAACAAAAGTGAAAAGAATCTAAAGTAATTCGCTAGATTATAAAAAGAAAAAAATTGAAATTCCCAGCATCCCTCATTCATGTGCTTGTGTAGTCACACCAACATAACAAATTTATTTCAATGAAGTCCTAAATGATGAAATGCATCATACAAAAACTTTTTTCACTTTCTCATATATTTATACATATTTAAATATGCATATATGAAACCTGTGCTTTTTTAAATATAAAAATTTATTCATAATAAAATTCATAAATTACTCTTCTGTTAAATAGGGATGTACATTGCTACCTTTCAGGGTATATTAGTGCACCCAAGCACACCGCTTGAGAAACACTGGTCTAATGAGTGCTAATCTACAAAAAATATTTTGCTATTTGTTTTTTTATTTATTTTTACCAATTAATTTAAGTAGTGCTGTATAATCTTTGATTTGTGCAATTAATATTTCGCACTGAATTAATTGCATGTACAAAATTGTAAAATTTCATGAAAAGTATATTTCTGTTTTTGAGTTTTTTTTTGTATTAAACATTCAAATTTTGATTTTTTAGAATCACTTAAATATTTCTCAAGATGCTTTGCTGATTTCAATCTGACAAATTTTTCAAACATAGTTGTCAACCACACTTCCTCCCAGCCCTAGTTTAAACCAGCATTTCTTAAATGGTGCATCTGGGCATACTAATGCACCCTGAAAGTTGCTAGGCAAAAATATTATTCACTGTCACTGTTGTATTAACTTTTTGGATTCTCCTGTTTTACGTTTGATTCCCATAATTTATATTTGGATTTGTTGCTATTGAAACAGTCAATTTCTGGTCTGTAAAGTAATTTGCCATGGTTAAATGTAATTTGCAAAAATGCCCAGCAAACAGAATTGACAAAGCGTCCAATAAAGAATAACAACAGAAACAGGACAAAAAAAAATACTAAGCAAACAATATATATGCATGAGAAAAATAGGTCAAACAATATTAATAAGTCAAAATATTCACAAAGAAAGAATGATGTTAATGTGCAAAAGGATACAGTCAAGTGATTTTAGTGTTCTGACTTCAAGACAATAAAGGGCAAAAATATGGTGATGAGACCAAGAAGTGGTTCCTTTTTTTTTTTTTTTTTTTTTTTTTTTGTCTATAAATTTAGGAGGTGATGTTTGTAGCAGTCATTCCTACAATAATTGGAACTAGCAAACTTGAATTTGAAAAAAAATAAAGAAAAATTCTGTGGAAATTCCAGATTCCCACTTACGATTTTGGAAAGTGAAAATTTCACTGAAATATGTCGGAAAACTTCAAAGATTTTATCTGAAATCAAGAAATTATGAACTTCAAGCAAAATGGTCACAATATATGGAAAAAAACTTTCAGTTTAAACTGACACCAGGAGGCTATCATTTTAAGGTATTTCAGAAAAAAATTTCATTATATCAGCACAGTTCAAATCATGAACTCATCGCTGAGAGATATTACCTATTCTAACTGAATTACTGAAAAACCAATATGAATATTGCAAAGAAAATGTTTCTCTTTCACACTCAAATATGCTTTTATATTTGTTGCTTTTGTGTTTAAATGAATTAATGAACATAGACAAATTTTTTTATTTTGTAGGACCCCTAAAACCAGTTGATGAATTTTCAGTGGAGCCATTTTATGATAAACTGCAGATTGATTGGAAACCCTATGATTGTTTCGTTGAAAAAGCTTACATTATTGAATACAAAATCAAGTATTGTAAAGCTTTGAATAATTCACAATGTAATGGTTTGTATTTTTTAACATGTATTTTTTCATTTATTTTTTTAAACAATATGCATGCTTTGAGCAAGATTTTAACTTTCAAAGTCATTATACAAAACAAAATTAACTGAAAAAAAATGCTCTGTATATAAATAAAATGTAAATAAATGTTTGCTACCAGTTACTGTTGTGAAGCTTGTGAGTGGCTATGATTTACAGTAACTTTCTTTTTAATAATTTCATCTCAAGCAAGGTGATAGTACTACTAAGATGCAAGTGGTTACTAGGTGTGAAAGAGAATGAGAAGATTTTAGTGAGGAGAAAGGACAATAAAAGAACAGGATTCAGAAAGATGAAAGATTGTGAATGATATTGCATTTAAATTTTTGAAGATTGTAGGTGACAAGGAAACAAGAAACCAAAGTTTCACAGGTGAGAAAAGAAATTATTAGAATAGAACTTGCAGTTACTTTTAGCTAATTCAACAAGTAAAATAATGAGACCTAGTCACCAATCTAATAGCATGTTTGAATTAATGCAACTGAGGTACCAAGGAAAAATGCTCATCAGAACAGTTGCAATGAAAATATTTATAGAAAAGGCAGAGGGAAAACCACATCAGTGGGAAAGTGAGTGGGGTCAAGATGCCATGTCAGGACTGATTACATTATGCACCTTTCTTTGGATTTTATAAGGAATCTTAATATTAATAGTAGGAGCATCAAACTAGATGTGGCAGCAATATTCAATGCACAGACAAACAGTAGATTTATAAGTGTGCAAGATGGATTCTGATGAGAAAAAATTGTCTGGTACAGTGAAGCAACTTTCCTAGCTGTAAACCGAGCATTTGATTCAATATAATCACTCCACTTTATGTTGACATTTTGCAATGGTATTGGAATGACTTAATTTTCTTTCACTGTGGCAATCCTGTTTTGATGTCTTTCTTTGTGTTTGTGTCACAGAATCAACTTGCTTGCAGGGAGAATAACTTATCCTTCTGGACCATAATTTATTTTGAATTATGAATTTTTTTTTATCATTTCATTATCATTTTTTCATCCTTAAGCAAGACAATAAAGCCACTAAGATGCAAGGGGTTACTGAATGTTAGAGAATATGAGAAAAATGCACTATTGAGAGAGGAAAATAAAAGAAAAAAATTAGGAAGACAAAAGATAATGTTGACATTGCATTTAAATTTATAAAAATTACAGTTAACTGGGAAGCAAGAAGGCAATATTTTTATATGAGTTAAATTACCTTATTTAGTTAAAATAAGTTACTAGTTTGTCAGTTAAACATTTCTCTAAATTCTTTTTTTTTTTTCTTTGTTTTCTTTCCAATTTTTTAGAAGCTGTGAAAGAGAAAACTGTTCACAGAACTGAAAGAAAATTCCAGACTCCTAAACTGTCCCCAGATTATTATCTTGTCTGGGTTGAGCCACTCACATATGGTGGATCTGGACCATCAAGTGTAAAAAAGATGGTAAAAATATCTTCCAGTTGTAAGTTGAAAAAATATTTCTTTATTTTTTGGATAATGGTGTTTAAAAAAAAAAAAAGAACACTTTAACATCTGTTTATATTTATGAGATGAGGTACTGTAATTATTTACACTATTTACATTATTCAAACTGTTGTCCTCATCTTTATTACCATATACATGATGTTTTGGCCATTGTATGCTCTGGCCTTCTTCAGGTGATATATATTGGTATTTTGAACCAAACCCTTTATTTAAAAGTGACTTGACTTAGAGTTGTAAATTCAATACCTGGCCAAGCTGAGCAAAGAAAAAGTTGGAGAGTTGAGTTACTCAAGGGAATTGACTGAAACTGAGATATCCAAAATAGGCATGATACATGGAATTAGAACAATCTACACCCATGAACTAAATAAAGGGTTCTGTTTGAAATTCCAGCATATATCACCTGAAGAAGGCCTGAGTGTATAACAGCTGAAACCTTGTGAATATGGCAATAAAGATGAGGATAACAGTCCAAATGATGTAAATAGTGTAAATACTTCACTTTCAATATCGGAAAGTTTGGTTTATTATAAAAGAAGGCCTAATTCTCTGTCCATCACACACAATCTTCCTGTGTCTTTGCATGAGTATATTTAATGGATATGCATATCTGTGTTGTGAGTGACTTGCATATGCTGTGTCATCTAATGTACACGCACACATGTATGGTTTGACTGATTTTGAAATAAGACATTGAAATAATGCATTACTCTTCTACTTTGTCTGGACAACTCCTACCCTGGGTTGTGTAATAAAATCATAAAGTTTGAGGCAAGAAAAGAAAAAAAGATTAATTCTTTTAAATCCTAAAAAAAATCAGATAATTGTAAGATATTATTGATCTTTTTAGAAATTAATCTATCAAAAATAGAATTATTTTTAAAAATCCTTTGAAAATCTTGTTTTAGAAATATTTGTAGGTCTGTCACAAGAATTTAAATATACTTATGCATAGGAAACATATGTGCATGTATGATTTGAATCAACTTATGTGTCTTGAAGGCTAATTTTCCTATCTGTCTGACAAGAAAATAATATAAAGCAGCCATTTGAAGTCATTTTTATGACATACCAGTATTTAAACTAAATATATTTTCTAATAAATATAGTATTTTAAATGGACACACAGTTTAGATTTGAAATTTGATCATCTTGTGGTCAGCAAAGATGATTAAAATTAGTTGGCTATAAAATTGTTATAGAATTGCACAGGCATAATTTATTAAAATTTATTTTTAAATTATCATGCAGAGAAACCATCCTTTTGACACTACCTCTTATTGTGAGCATGTCTGTCCATGTTTAACAAAACATCAATATTATTTAAAAATTTTATTCTTGAAAATAATTATTTTATTCATAGGAGCCTTAATACAAGGAGGATGTCTTAATAATTGATAGTGGGTGGGGTGATCCAGAAAATCATATAATGGATAAAAATCTAGAATTGAAGTAAAGAAATAATTGAAAAAGAAAAACATTACATTTATCATAAAATGGAATATGGTAATTTTGGAAAGAATAAAAAAGAAGAATGGAACAAAACAATCATAAAAGCATGTAAGCAAAAACTTTGGATTGCTTATTCCCAAGACTTGCTACTTTGTGGCAAGACTTCTGGCAGGCTGTTTTCCTGATCACAGCAATCTTAGCCTCTTCAAGTTTAGGTTGTTTTTTTTTTTTGATATTTTGTTTTTTTAAAAATTTTTCACTCCAAGTGAGGCAATAATGCTACTAGGACACAGGGTGGGGGTACAGGCAGTGAAAGAGAATGAGAAAACTTTAGTGAGAAGTAAGGAAAATAAAGGAACAGGGTTCAAGAAGACAGAAGATGGCAATTGACATTCCATTTAAATTTTTGCAGATTGTAGTTGGCAAGGAAGAATGAAATCTTAAGGGAGTTCTACAAGCAAGAAATGAGACTGTTAGCAGAGACAGTTGTATCTAACTAGTCCAACAGTAAATTGATGAGACCTAATTGCCAATCTAGTAGCATGCTTAAATTTAAGCAGTCAAGGCACTAAGAAAAAAAGCTCATCAGAACAATTGCCATGAAAATATTTGTAGAAAAGGCAGAGGGAAGCAAAGTCATGTTAATCAGAAAGGTCAGGATCGATTACATTACAGACTGAATTTTGTCAAGAATCTCAAGATATATGGTAGGTTCACTAGAAAATAATTGTAATGATTACAGTTTCCTTTTTGAGCTCTGTGTTGATAATGGATAGGTTGGCCTTTACAAGTTTGGGGAGAGAAAATGGAAAATGTTCTCAAAAGAAAAAAAATAATCAGTAAATAAAATATTCTCCTACTTTTATGGGGCACCTCAAAATAAGAGGCTATTTCTTGTAACCAAAAATCCACTCGTATGTAATCTTTGTCAAAATATTGGCATGAATATCAAATCTTTTGTTTTCTTTCAAATGAGCTATTTATCATTTTTCCTTGTTTATTTTCAGCTTTGAGCACTGCCATTATCGTTGTTATAGCAATTGCCTCATTTCTGGTATCAATATTCATCATTCTGGGATGTGTTTATGCTTACAAGTAAGTTCACTGTTGATGTTATTTTATTGGAGCCCTTTCAGGCAATAGACATTGAAATAACTACTGTAATTCTTTGTGTATATATTACTAGAGAGTATAAAATGCAGTTAAAAATGCAGAAAAATTCCAGGGAAAAAACTTATTTTCATGTATAAAACGCACTTGATTTTAGAGCAAACAAAATGTTCAAAACTTGTGAAAAAGGAAAAGAAAAAAAACAAAAACAGAACATTGTTTTCTTTTGGGATTTGTAAAAACATTAAAGTTGGTAATTGGCTGTTAACAAAGCTTGATAAAGTTGTTTATTGTGAACCTGTCATTAATAATAATTGTTTTTGTTGATTTTTATCTTAAAATTATACATCATTTTGTATTTGTTTTTTTTATTGTAAATGTTTTTACCATTTTGAAAGATTTCCAAACTCATGTAAGTGTCTAGACACAATGAAAACTGAAAAAAGTACAGAACCATACATAGCTTAGAGAAACATTTTGAAAGATCTATTTCCCTTTGCAATATGCCATCAGATAGATATCTCTCTGGTAAACAAATAAACTCAATTTTACTTGATTTTGTCTGGTTTGAGTTCTGGAAAAAATTGAGTTTTTAACTAAAGTGCAAGACATAGCAGACTTTTGCACACAATTTTCGTTTTTTTTTTTTTTTTAATCATTTCACCCCATGCAAGACAATAAAGTCACTAGGACACAATAGGTTACTGAATGTTAGAAACTATGAGAAAAATTATTATTAAGAAGAGAGGACAATGAAAGAACAAGAATTAAGAAGACAGAAGATAATGATTGACATTGCATTTAAATTTTTAAAGATCAAATTTGACTTGGAAGCAAGAAGCTGGAATAGAGTTCCACTCATGAAGTGTGATAGAAGAAACTGTTAACATAAAACTTATGGTTCCATCTAGCCATTTCAATTGTAAAATTATGAGACCTTGTCACCAATCTAGTACAGTGCTTAAATTCATAAAATCTAGGTACCATAGCGGAAAGTTTATCAGAACAATTACCATAGAAGTATTTATAGGAAAGGTACAGGGAAACCATGTTGCAGCAATGGGAAAGGAACTGAAGCCAAGATGCCAGGTCAGAATCAATAACATTGCAGTGTTACATGTTGATAATAATTGTAACAAAGGAAAAAAAATGATTTACCACAACACAGAGCTAAATCACAAACAAATATTTAATTTACTAAAACAGAACATAAAATATATACAGGATAAACAATTCTGGCCTACATAACAGAAAACAAAAACACAGTTACTGGCGAAGTGTTAAGAGGGAGAAGGAAAGGGAGTCAAATATCTTTATCACTTTATGGCTAGCGAAGTAATCTAAGTGCTATATTGGGAAATCCACAAAGGTGTGTAAATAAATATTAAATTTTAGTTTGGTCAATGAAAATTAGTCAAAATTCTATTTACCAAATTTGTTCCATGAAATTCTCTTTTGGGTTTTTGTTGGTTGGCAACTATTTATAGAGATTCTTTCGGCTGGATATAATAGTCCTCGAATCAAAAGCCGGAGTTGATAACAGCAGAAATTCCCCTTCATCAACTGACAACCCTTTTCCAAAATCCCATTTTTATAGGGGATAACACCTAATTTGCATATTTCTAGATGTTTCTCTAATCTAGATTTTTCTCGAATATACTAGAATGATCTAGAATCCTCCAAACATTCTATTTCTAATTTCTCTATTTTACAACTACTTCATGAATGAAAACTTTTTTGTAATAACAAGTAGAACTCAGTGGAATCCCTTATTATAGAAATGCATCCTCGTAACAGCAGATTAAAAAAGAAGTTGCATCTTGTATACATAGGATTATGATACTTTCTTGTATCTCTTAATTTAAAGAAGTATTATTGGTTGATAATTGCCATTTGCTTATTCTAAATGGAAGAAAAATTAATGTTTTTTTAAACAATTTAAAAAAGTTAAGATGGGAGGCACTTGGACAACTTCCCAAGAACTACTGCTTTGTGGAGCAGACTCTTCTGGCTGGATGTTTTTATGATCACTTTAATCTGAACCTTTTCATGTCTAGGTTTTTTTTTAATCATTTCATTCCAAGCAAGTAATAATGTCGCAAGTGCACCGGGTGTTACAGCGAGTGAAAGAGAGATGAAGTGAGGAAAGAACAATGAAAAAATAGGATTCAGGAAAACAGAAGATAGCAAATAATGTTGCATTTAAATCTTTGAGGATTGTATGTGGCAAAGAGACAAAAAATTGGAAGGGAGTTCTACAGGCGAAAAGTGCATGAAAAGAAATCCTTAGAAGAGATGGTTGCAGTTAGCTAGTTCAATCATAAAATGGTGAAACCTATATATATATATATATATATATATATATATATATGTGAAAAGTGTATATAAATATAAATAAATATATATATGTATAATTATTTATATATTATATGTGCGGTACTTATTAGAAAGCGCTCAATATCAGAGATAGAGCTAACATATTTGGTTGGATAGATGTGAGTTTGTGACCCTGGGTTTCACGCTTTAGCAATCGTCAGACAAGAACAATCACCATTCAAATATTTGTAGAAAAAAACAGATGGGAGCCATATCACATTGGCAAGAAAGTGACTGAGGTCAAAATGCCAGGTCAGGATCGATAACATTATAGACCCTTCTTTGAAGGGTTAACTTGTCTTTGATACATAGCCTCAACAACTTGTACTACTTGCTTTCTCTTACCCTCATACAACACCATACAGTAAACCCTCCAGCTTGAGTGTCTCTGGGCCCTTGTATTGGGTGAACATTAGTATAAAAAAGGAGCCAAAAAGATTTTGTAGTGCTTACATATATACTGGTGTATATTCTCTTTCTATGGGTATCTTCAGTTTATTGTGGTCAGGGTTGAAATGTGATATGAAGTGTTTTTAAGGCCCCCACATTTCTTCTGTTTTACTTTTTAATTGATGTTATCATGATTTTTTTGATCTTCTCTGAGTAGCAGATTTTTCAACTTAGGCCTGGTGTGTTGCTGAGAAATGTGTCCCTTGTTAACATTCAGTACTCTGCATCATTTATAAAAACTACTTTCTGTACATGGAATCGCATCAAAATATAGTGTTTTATATATTTGTGACACTGAGCTGTTGGCCCGTGGTCAACTCCCAGTCGCGGCGCAAAACTGTGATATTTCTTCTACCAGCATTGTGGGGTTGACTCTTAGTTGCTGCCACTAACCTGTGTCCCGGTCGATCGGTGGTCGTCGCTACTTGATGGAGTCCTTTGTTCAGGGTACCAAGTGGAATGGTTGGTCGATGCTAATGGCTTCACACCAGCTTCGTCATTCTCAGCTCACTTCCAGCATCTGATTACTGAAGTAACTGCTTCAATCTCAAGTCTAACCTACCCACGTTGTGATTTTGATCTTAGGTAGACGAGTTCAATTAGGTGTCAGGCCGTAGTGTAAGATGAGTCTAGACTAGAGGTGATATTGCACAAGCATAAAGAAAAGAAGCAAATAAAAACCCAAGAGGTTCAAGTATGTTGAAAGAAAACAAATCAACTTTTATTTGTTATATACAGGAGTGTGTGTTTTTCTCCCAGCCCGTTTTCTACATAGTGACATTTTTACGCTTCTTAGGCAAGTTCTGGTCTTCTAAATCAACTGGTTTAGTTTTTAAGTGCTGGCTTAGCTTCGTTTGTCAGTATAACTTGCTGTTCGTAGAATAGGTGAAGTAAGAGGTCGTGGAATATCTCGGTCAGCATCTGTGAGGCAACACTCTGGTTCCTGCTACTCGAACTGCAACTCCAAAACTCAACTCAAAACTAATTGGCAAACTGCCCGAGAGTGTTCATTTATATGGACACTGACCAAAAACCATTGGGGGTTAGATGCAGCCTGGGGTTTTCAGTAAATCCCGATTTCTGACAAGAAACCTCTTTGTTGTCTGTCCAGGAAAATTGATTATTTCCCATTTTGGAAAATTAATCAATTTCTATTTTGGGGATCCCTTCGTCTGTGAGGAGAGGTTGTAGGATAGCTATCCTCCTAAACTCCCCCCTTCTCACATTGATACCTCATACCAAATCCTTTCGGTGGGTGTTAATAACTTCCCCATCTTTCTCATCAAATTACCTTCACCTATCACCATTGCTACTACTTGACCAATGGCGTCCCAGAATTTTTTCGTTTACAAAAATCTCTTTCTCACTGGCCAAAATTCTTATGAATAACATATGGCCACTTAAAATCTCTAGGATCTTTTGGTCACCTTGCATCTTCTTAACCAGTACTTTTACAAACATCATCAATCAATTGTCAAAGTCTGTTATCTGGTCCCTTCATGAAGTTAGCGCCTACGGGAACCTTTGGCTTCTTGAGAAAGAAAAAAAAAAAATTCATAAATTTCTTTCTCTCCAAATCGGCAATTCTTCTGAGATATTTTCTCATGCCAAAATTCTATAATTGACACATGGCCACTTAACTTGCCGGTACTTAAGATGATATCTTGGAAAAATAAATAAGGGTAATTCTCTTTACCCCATATCGACAAATACTTTGGAACATTTTCTCATGCCAAAATTTTTATAATTAACATATGGCCTTGCCGGCACTTAAAATGATATCTTGTTCTCAGGTTTTCTTTAACCAGTACTTTTACAAACATCATTGATCAACTGTCAAAAACTCATATATGGCCTTTTTGTGAGTCCACTGTTTACACCAATTCTCGGATTCTTGAGAAAAGCAACTTGATCTTACTTTTAACCCAAAAAATAAAAATCTCAGGGTATCTTTTCCGTTCTCTGTATTTTCTTGTTTAATTTTCATGGTTAATTAGTTAATTAATTATCATAGATAAATAGTATCACATATTAGTTCTATATATTTCTATATATCTGGCTCTCAATTTCAGTCAAGATTGTTTTAGGTGTTGCCATAGAAGGATATGACAACACAAACAAGAAATCAGAATTTAACATTAGGAGGACTAACATTTTCCTTGGTGAAAATAGTCACCTACATAGTACTAAAGATTAACTTGCATGATGGACAATGCAGTATTCAATTATATTATTAGACATTGTCATGAGGTCAAAGTGGTATGTGCAGGGACACTGGGATAAACCTTGAATAGTGATTACATGGTGACATGCAACAAATGGAGAAGTTAGTACATGTTTTGTTAACTCTTAGCTAAACAAAATTTAGCCTACTTTATCACCAAGTAATCATTTTTTTCAACTCTGGTTGGAGGTGATTGGTGGGATGAGGAACCAACAAAATGCAACAATTAATATCACTCAAATTAAATTTAAAGATTGATTATCCAAGAACAAAATAGAAAATGTGCAATTTAATTACAAAATTCATATCATCATAAGGTGTTTTTTTTTTTTTTTTTAAAGAAAAAAAGCGTCCTGAGTAAGACAATAAACTACATCCAGCAGCAAAGCCTCTGATTGGGAAGTTTTGAGGAGCGTAGAACCACCTCTTAATTGCTGTTGTTCCCAGGTCCCAGGATGTTAGGGATCTATAGGTAAAAGAAAAAAAAATGGGATCAAAACCCTATGAAAGTATAAAAATAGATTTTTATAGCAAAAATACCAGCAATACAGTTTTGAAAAAAAAATTACTATATATTTTATTCATACAAACTTGTCCTAAAAATCTTGTCAGCAATAAATAAGCCACTGAGGTTGATATGCCATAAAACAAAAACCAAACCAAAGAGAAAAAATTGAAAAGTTCCAAACATTTTTTTTTTAACTTCAATAAATTTGACTAAATAAATAGTTGGGGAGTCAAAATGGACTTTGTAAGTAAATTGTGGTGATTTATGACTAAAGCTCACTAATTTCCAACTGAATACCAATGCCTTTGCTACTGTTCATCAAGCATGCCCTTTTCCTTAATGATATCAACTAATTCAATAAATTCAATAAAAAGGTTTTTTTAATTTATTTTAATGTATTTATTATTACCTTTATTATTTATGAAGTTTTTCTCATCATTATCATTATTTAAACAAACAGGTCTTTTATTGGAAGACAAATAGAAATTGAAAAAGAATAACAAAACAAATGAATCTTATCAAAAAACAATCATGAAGGAAAGAGGCAAAGGAATTTCTAAACTTAAATAAAAAAAACAAAAAACAATTCTACTTGTTCCTTTGTTAACTTGTATGTTATGCTCTGCTAAATAAACAATGGACCATTTCTGTTTGATTGTGAGGATAGATGGAAGAAGAGATACATTGAAGGTACTTTTTGAAAAAAATAATGAATGGGAACATGAAAAAGGCAAAAACACTCATATTTTTAAATCTTTGCATTTTTATCCTCTTACTTTATTAAATAACCTGAATTCATATTTATGATTGTTATTGTGATATTTTGTTAAAGTTGTTAAGCTCAAATATTCACTGAGGCAATAGGGAAATTTCTATGGGTATTTATAGTCATGAAACTATCAAGGAGATTATTCAATCATTAGCATAAGTATTAAGATTCATTAAAAAATTAAAATAGGAAAACTGTGAATTTTCATGGGCATTTAATAGCCATAAAAGTAGCTTATTTAATCAATAACTCAAGATTCATTAAAAAATTCAAATACGAAAACCATTAATTTATTTTTTTAATGATTTTTTTTGTTCATGTCTGGGAGTTTATAAGGGGACCAAAGATTCTATGAAGTGGTTGATAGTCGAAAAATTTTGGGGTCCTCTTGTTTTAAATGTAAAATATTAAGTCAAGTAACTATTTTTAAACTCTTTATATTTAAAACAAAAAAAAATGTACAATTTTTCTTTTTCAGAAAATGCTCTTATCAGATTGCCAAGTGTGATCCATCAATTGATTTTCCTGTGGTAAGATATTTCTATTTTGAATCTTTTGTTAACTCAGTTATAGTGATTGCTCAAAGTAAAGCATAGAACAATACTTTGTCTTTTACTACATTTTCTGACCATTAATGCTTAAAGGGTAAGCATTATCAATTGATGATTCATTAGAGATTGGCTGATTTTGTCAATTGATGATTGAAACTTTTTCCTAATGATACAATCATCACTCATTCAGGATTCACATCTAAATGACTTACTGGCAACTCCATGATTCATGAGGTTATATCATTTCCTAGAGTATTTGTCTACAAATAAAGCTGGAAAAACATGCCAAAGTCAGTGCTATGCCTGCATGCAAACTTCTCAAAGAGAACAGCAGTGAAAAATGGTGACAACTTAGGCTAAAGAATGTACAACTCTATTGTGCACAGAATGTTTCAAGGAGTATCATACTTCTCAAAGAGAAAACCAGAAAAAAATGGTGACAACTTTGAATAAATTACTGATTATGGCTGTTTGGGTTGATGATATACTCATTGCTGCAAATTAGTATTCTATATTAATTAATGTAAAAACCTGTTTAAATGAACAATTCAAAATAATTGATTTTGGACAGATTTCTTTTTAGGTATACAATTTACATTGAAAAATAACTCCATAGAGATGAATCAAAAATATAAAGAAAAGATTTTACCCTAATTTGGAATGCAGGATTGTAAACTTCAATCAATGCTTTATGAAATGGATATCAACAGTTAATAGTCTAATATATATTATGACTGCATCCTCATTCAGATATGATGTGGTAACAAAATTTTCACAATATTCAGCAAACCCAACCATAAATCACTTGATAAGAGCCAAACAAGTCTTAAGCTATTTAAAGGCACAAGAATATAATGTCTAGTGTTTAATAAATTTTGTAAGCCCCTGAGTTTAAGAGGCTTTTGTGATGCTGATTGGTGAAATTCAAAAGATCACTGCAGTATTATGAGGTACAATAATTTCCAATTATTGTCTCACAGTTCAATGATTTCTTGGAAAATGAGAAAACAACATATGGTAGTGTTGTCAACATTCAAAGCTGAATATATGGCATTAGTAGCTGCAATACAATAAAATCCTTATTTGATTATTGAGCACCATGATTAATTCAAATGAAAATAAGCAAGCCACTGTTGGGATAATTAAGGTACCATAGCTCTTTCTAAGAACCATGTTTATCACCAACAGTCAAAACATGTCGACATAAAGTCCCACTTTATATGGTCTGGAATTCTAAATGGTCCAATCAGTTTGGACGATATTCTGTCAGACCAAATCAATTTATTTAATGATCTAAATGAAGCACAATCTCAAACTTTTTGTTTGCTATTTTTTCTCCTTATTGTAACCAAAAAAAAAAAATGTTAAAAAAAATGAAGAAATTAAAAAAAAATATTTAAAAGATTTTGAAATATTAAAAAATTAAAAGATATTAAAAAGAGAAAAATACAAAAGAAATTGTAAATATTTATGTGTATTTTGTTTTTATTTGTTGGTTGCTATAGAACTGGGGAAAGGTGAGAGAAATGGGTGTACTCATTCATTTGATTGAGGAAGGTGTTGATTCCAATCCACTGCAAAAACATCTCCCTCCCTAAATTTATAAAACAAAACATACAGATGCATGCTGGGATTTCTTTCAAGCTCTAGTAGAATAGACCACTTCTTGGTCTCATCTGAATCAGTTCTGTTCTTGTCTTGAAGTCAGAATGCTGCAATTGTTTGTCTGTATCCCCTTTTATGTGTTAACACCATTCTTAGTTTGTGAATGTTTTACCTTATTACTGTTGCTTTGCCTTGCATATATTGTTTGCTTACTTAATATTATTTTTTGTCATGTTCTTTTTCTTGTTATTGTTTATTGAAAACTTTGTCAATTCTGTTTGTTGGACATTTTTGCCATCACATTTAGCCATGACAAATTACTCTATATAATTTGCTGAAAAATGAAGATCATGCAACATGCCAAGCTGCACTCACAGTAAAACACATTTTAACTGAATGTACTAACTTAGCCCCTGTAAGACATAAATACAAGGAAAACAATGAGAAAACTATTTGAAAATACTGAAACTGACAATATAATGTCCTACCTTAAAGAAATAGGATTATACCAAAACATATAACCTCTACAATAGATCATCTACAAACTATATATCTATAAAACATATATTTAGTCTGAAAGTATAAAATTATATGCAAAATATCTGTAGTTGAAGGTATAAAATTACATACAAAATATTTAGATTTTGGCAATAAATAACATATGTTTGGATATACCACCAAACAAAAACAAGCAACAAGAACTACATCTAATTTGTATTTGATTGCCATCCTACTGATAGCATATTGTCAGTTCATCAGAATCATTGTGCAGAGTTATTCAGTGTTGTTGTCGGTAATGAACGTTAATGCACATCCTGCTTGTGTGCTGTGCTTAGTTGATGTCTGCCCAGTTTTAAGCTTCACAACCAATTTCTACAAACTTTGTTATAGTAAAACACTGATCCCATATTGTGCAGAAAGCTTTGTGCATTTAACCCTCATGAAAATTGTTGTTAATCCTTTGAGAGCAGAGGCCATGTTTATTATACAGTAGAACAAAGGTCAGATAGTCAGCAGCAAGAGTAAAAGGTTCCTCCCCTCTCCCAAATGGAATCAACAGTCACAGGTCCATGACTGAGGGAAGCCCTCAAATTAGAGGACATTGGCTGTGGCTTCACCTGGAGTCAAACAGGCTACACCAGATCTATTTGGCCAGGACATACCAGGCATGAATGAAATATCTCTCCAACTTTCAACCCAGATATATGGAGGGAACTGGTCAGTGATCCAAAAACTATACCAAGTCATGTGACTAATGACGATTATGATCACAAAGGTAACTCACTGATCAGCAATGACTGTTCATTGTTTTCGAATCTAGATGGACATTGGGGATCTTTATTCTAAACAGTATCTCTGCATTGCAGTAAAAGCAGGGGTGTTCAGCTGGTGTAGTGAATACCAGCTTAGAATGAGAAATCTGAGAGCTGAGTTTGAATTTCACTCAAATTTGTTACATTCACTTATGTGCAAATAGCTTTAGGAAAGCTATGATGTCATCTCTTTTGCTCCCCAGCTAAATTAAATAGTAAGATTTGTATCTGGAAAAATCATTATCTATAAAAAAAAAAAAACCTTGTTAATGTAAACTTTGCATGCAAATAAAAAGAATTATTCTTACAATCAAAAATGTGTTTCAGTTTTAATTAATCTGTAAAGGATTGATAAGCTGTAAAAAAAAAACAAATCAATTATATAATAAAAAGGGTAATTGAGCATTCCCCAATAACTGTATTGACAAAAGTAGGTTTCGTTTAAAAAAAAAAAAAAAAAAAAGTTGCCATCATGGGAAATTTGGAAAGATCATTGTTCCACATATACAACAGAATTACAATAAAACAATGACAAAAAGAGACAAGAATATTTCACCATCATGGGGATTTGAATAGTTCCTTGTTCCACATCATATATACTTATTATAAAACCCAGGTTATGTGTGTGTGTGTGTCTGTTTGTTTATATATTAGATCGGATTTTCTATATTTTTCAACCGATTTCAACAAAACTTCACAGGACTACGTAAAATTACCTTGCGGTGGTTCTGACAGTGCCAAAAATTGGAAAAACACAATTGTTTTTGCACGAAATCAATTTGAAAACACAATTAAGAGAATGAAAGGGAGACAACTCATATCGAGTTATACTTATTATAAAACCCAGGTTGTTTGTGTGTGTGTTTATATATGGGATCGGATTTTCTACATTTTTCAACCGATTTCAACAAAACTTCACTTTTTTTTTTTTGGCAGGTAGTGTTTCTTATTGTCTTGCACACTTTTTTTTAGTTATTTTTACATTCAGAATGCTTTAAAAATTCCATTTACAAGACAATTGTTTATAATAAAATTCTATTTGATCGGTAGACTCATAACGATTGAAAACAATGTTTGAGTTTGGGTTTGACCAATTCGTAAAAAAAAAAACTAATTAAGACATGCGTGTCTGTCAACCTTAAACAATAATCTTTGTCAATTTTATTTTTCAGTCTTAATGATGGTCAATACTTGATCTATCTCTTACTGTTACATCCTTGGGCAACGCCGGGCTCTACTGCTAGTATACAATAGAATTACAGTGAAACAATGGAAGAATAAAACATAAGAAACAAAAGCCCTTATGTTACATGACTTTATATTTAGCAGAATAATTCAGCAATAAATACAGATTGTCATTCATTAATCCATCAATTTCCTTTTACTTTTTTTTTCTTTTTTTTTTTTCTTGCAGGTACCTCAAAATTCTTATGACACCCTTGGAACACATAGAGTGAACACTTCTGTAAGTGTATATGAAACTTTATCTAGTATCTGTGTGTATTGCTAGATCATTATTATTCTCTCCATAATCTGTAATTTGGATTGAATTTAAGTCTGGTTTCAAATGTCAGTAGTTTCTCTAGGCAAGTGAAGTTAAATATATTTATTGCATATAAGTACAAGTAGGGCACAAGGCTAATGATGGGGAAAGAGGAAGGCTGGTCTTCATCTGTCTTTATACTAAAACTTAGCTAGCTACAACCATTTACCCAGACATGCTACAATAATCCTTGCACCAAAACACCACATTCTTACTTACCATTCTTACTAAAACCACCATAATACCTCAGAGACTCTATGAAATCCTAACTAGTCCCTATATGTACAATTTTGTCTGTGGGGGTCTGAAATACAAAAACAACTTTTAAAAATTTATATACCCCAATGAATATTTATAATGGTAAACAAAATTTAGTTACAAAAAACTTAGCAAAACAGTATTAAACAACCATTAAAAGTGGCAGAGACATCAGTTAACCAGTTGAAATTAATGTGGAACTTGAATAATGAAAAAAATCACTCAGTTGATCTGAAACTCATAAAGACACACCCTCACCCAAACACAACAACAAATATGAAAATTCATACCCAAAATGCAAAAGGGCTCCAACACAAGAATGTACAGCGAAGGTGAAAGTGGACAACCTTGATGAATGGAGTGAGACAATACGAAATGTTTTGATCTTACTCCATTCACTTCCACCAGTGCACTGGGGGTTGCATACAGAAGTTGGATTCAAGTGTGAAAGTATGGCTTGAAACCAGTGGTTGAAAGGACAGCCTCCAGAAACTGATGGTCAACCCTATCAAAAGCCTTGGACTGATACAAATTGATCAGCACGGCATCACTGTTGACTTTCTCAATGATCAAGCGTACCAAATAAAGGTTGTCTTGAATAGTCCTGCTCTTCACAGCACAAGTCTGTTCGGGACCAATCAGACAAGGGAGGGCAGCCTGCAAACTGCTGGCTAAGATCTTGGCTAAAATCTTCAACTCTGTGTTTAACTTTGTCAAAGGCCAATAATTATCCCATCCCCACTGTTTTTGTTCTTGTGAAGCAACTTAATCACACCCCCTTGTGAAGCGTTGTGAATCACACCCCTCCTTCATCCAGTTGATGTAAATCAAGGGGACAAAAACCAGCAATTGCCTCAAGTACATTTTGTAAGGAAGACAATCTAATCTCGGAGTTTTGTCCAGGCCAATCTGCTTCAGACTCTGTAATGAGATCCTTGCACCCAGTTGCTTCAGCTGCCTCAAGGCAGGGAAAGTTGGCTAAATAGGCATTGAACTGAGTAGGGCTCAGACTGGGCTCCCTGGTAAACAGCTCATGAAAGTAAACTCGGAAAGCCACACATATGCCCGTGACTGTAGTTACAGTCTACTTGTCTGGCAATGTGATGCTTGTGATATGTTGACTGGATGCCATTCAAGCTTCCTCTGCATGCAATTCAGTGAACATGTTTGTTGCCTCAGAAGACATTCTTTTTAACCTATCTCTAACTACTAGAGCTTGATCCTTCTTGTTAAGCAAGGAGGCCAGCTCTGCCTTAGCTAAGGCTATGTCCCCACTATCATGGGATTTGATTGCTCGATCTACTTTCTCTACACATGCTTTTTGCACTGCTAATCCTGCTAGATTGAGTTGGCAACTAAAAATAGCAGCAAAAGACTTAAGTTTGGATTTTAAAAGATCCTACCACTTATTCCCAACCACAGCCCCCCATCAATTCCTTCTGTAGCATTAGTAGTAGCTCATCCCAGAAACCAACCATCTTAACCTTAGGCTTCTCTAAGTTTACCCAAACCTGGACAAGCCTGTGATCTGAGTAAACTATGTCATGGAAACTTGGACATCCTAAAAGCCCTACTTTGACTCTCTTTACTAGAACTCCATCAATGTAGCTACAATGCCCCACTGAATCCAAGCTGTCGCTCTTAATCCAAGTCCATACTACCTGCCATGGGTGCTCATTCCGATACTTATTGACAAGATCAAACCTGTAGATAAAGTCCTGAAATGATTTAACATCCAGGTTGTTAGTACCCAATCTTTCCCCTATGCAATCTAAATCTGGATCAATCTGGCATTTCAATCACCCGCTATAACTACTGAACATATAATCAAAAATGGCTTGATGAGCCAAAACAAATCAGGCCACTTTGCATGGTCATTGGATATTGTGGTAATATCCAGCATGCAAAGCCTGCCTGCCAGATCTGAGAAGACAAGAGTACACACTGCATCCACAGACTTGCTCATCATCCAGGAAACACCTCTCGAGCAACCATCAAAACATGCTGAATAGAGGATAAACCCCCTAGACAAAATGTTCTCATAATCACAAGTTGAAAATTGGGTATCTTGTAAACAGCATACATCCACCCCGAGATGCTGAAGATTGTGAGCAAACCTTGCCCTATGAGACTCTGACCTCAAGCCCCAGGCATTCAGACTTTCTAACCAGAGATCCATTTTCAGTCCGATTATAGTTGGGAAACTGGCTTGAACATTTTTGGGGAAAGGATACCAATAGCCTCACCAAGTGACCCTTTTCCCATCTCATTCTTGATAGTGATATCTTAGGAGAGACTGCCAATATCCCAAGGAAAAGTTAGTTTTAGTGCTCTCTATATAGGGAAGTGTGAACTTAAACTGGGACCCTCTTGAACAGAACTGTTTTAACTTATGGGTAACATCATTTTCATTCAAGAATTGCTAGCAGGTGGGGGCTTGACATATTAATTGATTTTATGGCCTCTTTGACTATGTCCCATGTCTGCCATGTCCCTGACCCAGTTTGAATGACAGTCAGTACCTGCTACCCTGTTGGAAAATTATTGGGTACCTAAGTTCTTTTATAAGGATAACTTTTGGCTCTTTCAGCCTGAGTAGAGGAAATGTGACGGACATCTTCTCCTTGGTTGTATGGCAGTTTGTTTTGCCTTTTCCTCCTTTCCATTGCCTCTGCTTATGGACTTTTTTGGCGTGGAGGCATTTCAGGATGGTTTTTTTGGAGAAGGGCTGGGAGTAGGACATGGGGTGCATGATGTATTTTTCCTGAAGGAGCTGGCATCTCTATTGAGTGGGATAATTTTACATGGGGACAAATGTGTAGATGATGGTTGTGAAACTGGTTTTGAGACAGAGGAGGACAGGCTGGAAGTTGAGGAGGTAGCTGTCTTTTTAGGAGATGATGATTTCAATTTTGCCTTGAGTTTTTTTTAATTTTTTTCCATTTCCTCAAATCCAGGGTCATACTTTTTCATTTCCTCCAAAGAAGTATTCTCTTTAGAGACCGGGCATCACCCTAAACACTGGTAGAGGGAGTGGGTATGTTTGTGCCTTTTGTCCTGGGGGACAGCCTGGCACTTCCTTCCAGCCCTATCAACAACCAGCCATTCCTCCTCTTCCTGCTCTGCAACTGCACTAGCAGCAGGTGAAGGCTCTTCGGAGACCCAGAAGCTGGCATGCCCATCCAGGTGAGGCAGAACTTAAAGATGGGGGTGTTTTGGCTGACTGGGGCCTGGCTTCCATAGGCATTCTTCTCTGGGCAGGAAGAGGAGAGGTAACCAGCCTCTCCACACTTCCTTCATATTGGTTTTTGGCTCGTCACAGTGACCAGCAATTTCAAGCTCCATGACAGTTGGGGATGGAGTAGAAAGCTTTATGATCCAACATTATTTCAAAACCCCATCCCCCATTCAGGCTATTGCATGAGGCACCCAGTATGTCTCCATACTGCGAAAAGAATGCAGCTAGATGCTTCTCAATAACCTGAGGGAGGGACCATGAATATTGCCACACTAGTCTTACGCCTGCCTTTGTATTTGGTCCGAAGGATTAGATCTTTCATCATTAGATTTCAACACAAAACTTTAACACACTCTTCAGATGTGGGCAGCAATATGTCCCACATGAAGTAGCCTGCACCCTTAATAATTCTTTGGGGCTTAACCCCCAGGGACTCCAGTGATTTTATAACTCTGTCTTTTGTTTAGCGACAAATTTTGTATGAACGCTTGTCCATCATGAAGACTGACACTATTCAGTTCTCAATCTTCTTTAGGGGTCTTCCAAGGGTCCACTTTCTACCACAAAGTGAGTGTAGCTTCAAAAACTTCACTATATTGGTAATGCATTTTGGGGGGACTTCCAGCAACACTTTAAAACTGGGAACTCTACTATCTTTGTCAGGTGTGTCTTTTTTTTTTTTTTTTTTTTTTTTTTTAAGAAAACAAATGTTTCTTGACTGACTGTATTGAATCAGCCATTTAGAGTTTTAAAAGGACAGCTAAATAATCAGATTTATAATTTTTCTTGTAAATATATAAGAAAAGATAGGGGAGGGGTGGGAGGAAAGCAAGAAAAAATTAGCAGCAATAGACAAATAAGCTTAATAAAAAAGGTTTGCCTATATACGAAGAAAACATTTAAACAACAAGAAACAAACAATTTTTTAAGAGAAAGTGACAATCAAACTTAAATATTGGTTGAAAGCTGAGTAAAAATAAAATTTAAAGACTGACAAGAAAAATTCAAAAAGTCAAAAAAAATACTATTTAAGATCACACAATTTCAAAAAAAAAATCTAAATCAATAGAATAAACTAAGAATTCAACAAAAACAATTGTCTAGTAAAACTTATATTAGACCAGAAAAAAAATATGAAAAAATAGCTGACACTGGAATAAAGAAGTTTGTTTACAAACTAAAAACAATAAACAAAATCTAAAAGCACTAAAAGCAGGTAAAATTTAAGTGTCAAAAAATGCAAAAATAAAATAAACTATACACTGAACAAAAGATAAAAGAAAAATGGTTATGTGGTAAAACTTAAGTCAGACCCAAAAAAAGGGAAATGGCTGCCGAGGCTGAAAATAAAATGAGAATAAAAAAGATTGCTTACTAAATATTGGTCATTCAAAAAGTCAAAGGATTTCTTTTAAAAAATTCCTTC